TCCAACCAGTCCATCCTAAAGGAGATCAGTCCTGGGTGTTCATTGGAAGGACTGATGCTGAAGCTGAAACTCCAATACTTTGGCCACCTGATGTGAAGAGCTGACTCATTTTGAATGTCCCTGATGCTGGGGAAGATTGATGAGATGGTTGGATGGCATCATGGACTCAATGGACATGAGTTTGGGTAAACTCTGGAAGTTGGTAATGGACAGGGAGTCCTGATGTGCTGCAGTTCATGGGGTCACAGAGTCGGACACGACTGAGGGACTGGACTGAACTGAATTGAACTTCAAAGAGATTAATTGCATTCATTCATTCCTTCTTTCTTTTTGTTTTGTATATCTTATATTTTTATATTTTGTTCTCTATATTGGACATTGTGAAGAATATTCTATAGAAGTTCCATATTCTCTCCTATTATTTTAAAGAGGATGGCTTTTTAAAATGTAAGCAATCCATTAATTTGACTGAATTCAAACTGTAGTTTTTGTTTTCCCTGAGAAGAATGGAAATAGAATCTCAAGTTCAGTTCTTTAAGATGTAGCAGCTGGTGTATTAGGAGTCTACCCTGTGTGTGTATGATTCAGGTGTTAGCCAAAGATTTAAACAAAGTTTCTAAGTTGAATTTGGTACTTACTCAAGATTCTCCAACACAGCTCATTGCCATTCATTCCTGGTGTTTCAGTTCAGTTCAGTTCATTCGCTTGGTCACGTCCAACTCTTTGTGACTGCATGGACTGCAGCACGCCAGGCTTCCCTGTCCATCATCAATCCCAGAGCCTACTCAAACTCATGTCCATTGAGTCAGTGATGCCATCCAACCATCTCATCCTCTGTCATCCCCTTCTCCTCCTGCCCTCAATCTTTCCCAGCATCAGGCTCTTTTCAAATGAGTCAGCTCTTCACATCAGGTGGCCAAAGTATTGGAGTTTCAGCTTCAGCATCAGTCCTTCCAATGAACACCCAGGACTGATCTCCTTTAGGATGGACTGGTTGGATCTCCTTGCCGTCCATGGGACTCTCAAGAGTCTTCTCCAACACCGCAGTTCAAAAGCATCAATTCTTTGGTGTTCAACTTCACTGTCATTAAAGTAATTGTTTAAAAGCACAAGCTATATAATACCTTGCCTCTTAGTAAGTACTTGCAATGGTCTCTGCTATGTAAAATATATAATCTTAATTATTATATTGATATGCAGTATTAATCACAGTGTTACCCCAATTTACTTCTCCAGATGATCCTATCATATACATTATCTCAAATAGCTCTATTTTATGTTTATGCTCTTTTGACCTTAAAATCATCATCGTATCCCAGTGAGAACTCTTTTGCATGACTTCTTGCCCACCCACCCCCCAGTGGAGTGACAGTTTTCTCGTTACCATTTGTTTGTATGTTTGCTTGTTTTTTAAGTTTCCCTGACCTAACAGTTGTTTAAAATAGACATTTTAGGATTTTTAAACTAGTGCTGGGATTTTAAAATAGATATTTCTAAAATTATTAAATATCACTCAAGCTATACTGAGTAAATGAAGGACAATTATAAAAACTGCATTTCTTCTTTTCAGAAACATGTCAATTTTTTTTTTTTCGAAACATGTCAGTGGGTTGTTTTTAACCTTGTTATCTGTGATCTTGGTTGGAAATTGAGCCACAACTTAATATTTATGGGTAAAAGGAATTTGACCAAGAAAAGACCTTAGAGATGTCTGGGGACCAGTAGGATTTGAGTACAGTTGTTTATTAGAGACCCTGGTTATAGAATTTGTATTATAAAAAGATGAGTCCTTTATGAGCACATGCGTTCTAGATGTCGTAATCTTAGGGATATTGCTTTGTGAGTATCTCAGTGATATAGAATTGAGAATCATAAAATTCTTGCTTCCAGGGATTTATACAGGTTTTATGGGATTTTCAGCTTCTAAGACTTGGAAAACTATCTTTAAAATTAGAATCTAAAATTATGAATGCAAAATATGTGCAAAAGTGAATATTTGCTTCATGTGTAAAAAGAAACCATAACAAATTTTGAAATTTAAAAAGCTGAGAAATATCACAGATATTATAAAATCAAGCCAACAATAGAACATTTTTATTAGCTTATCTTCTGGCACAAGTCATAATATACTTTTTCTCCATTTTGGGCTGAATATTTCTAATAGTTTCTTCATATGCAAATAATTTTGTAATATTATTTTCTGCACTGAAAATAAAAAATTAATCCATAGTTTCCTTTAGTATGTTTGATCAACAATTTTTTTTGTTTGTTTCATGTTTTAGAAAATTCTTTTCAGATTTACCTGTTATTCATGGTTGTATCATTTAATTTTAATACTGTGGTCAAAATGGGAAAATTTTTACAATACATTGTAAAATGCATTTTACAATGCATCATCTCATGCATTGTTGTTAGAGATTTCCTCTTAAAGGTACTGTTACAGATTTATATCCTAGAAACACAGGGATTCAGATACATTTCATTTTGTGATGATCTCACTCAAAACAAAAAGAAAAAAAATTTACAGCATTTATAATTATATACACTGTGTTCTCGATTACATAACTGACAGAATAGAAATTTTGTTCTGAGTATGCATTCAGAAGAAAAAAATTTTTGGCTTACAGTTTTAAATGTTTACTGTTTGAAATAAGTTCTCATATGTTTGTATTCTTCAAACCTTGTGCACTTGTTGTAGCTAAATATTTTAGGTATTGTAAGACATATTCACACAAAGATAGGTCCTTTGGACTGAACTTTGTGTTATAAAGCATGATGGGATGAAAAACGAAATATAGAACTATCCATGGAAGCCTTTCCAAGACAGGACACCGATACCTAGACAAGAACATATATCACATTAGACTCAATCTGAATAAATTCATGACTCAGATATTCTTTAGTCAGATTCTCAAGGCACCCACAGTCATCTCAGTGCTTCAGTAGCTATGGGGAGATAACAGTGGGAGAATGTACTGAGAAGTAATAGCCAATTACAATATAAATTTCTTTTGTGATATTTATAAATAGAAATGATCACATAAACAGTTTGGTCTGAAACTTAAGTTTCTTTAGCTCCACGGTAAATCCACCTCCACTTGTTTTATCTTTTTGTGCCAATGAATTTTCAATTTGAGGAGGGAAACTAAAATAACACTCAGTATATGCTCATTAAAGTCTGTGTAAAAAAAATAATGAAATCAATAATATGTATATTTTATAGATTTCATGCAGTCAGGTTTTATTGATTGTGATTTTACATTCAGCATGTTTTATAGTTTTTCTCTACATGCTAAGATAGATAGGTTAAGAGAAATGTTTTTCTCATTTACTCTCCAAAACAATATTTAAAAGGTTATCAGAATCACAAACAGATATGTGAATATCCCATCATAAAGCTCTGGATGTCAACGTATTTCTGCTTTTTGACTAAGAACAATGAGAGAAGGCAGGAAAGAGAGCTTAGTTTCATTTTCTCTGTCTTTGTTTATCACTTGTCTCACCCATCATTCTGTACTCTTGTCTGTTTATAAGCTTTAGCCCAAATAGGGAAACAGCGAAGAGAAGGAATGCTGATGGCAGCTGCAGATGTGATTTAATCTAAAGCCTCGCCACGGCTCCATGTTTCTGTGTGTACCCACATCACATCTGTGCGGAGTGTTGCCTGTTAGGTTGGGATAAGCTCTGTGTGTTTTACCCATTTCTTCAACTTAACTCCATGTTGAGCACATAAGCCTCCCTACTTAGATGTTTGATCAAAGCTCTTACTTACTAGGGAACGGAATGACTCCCACTGGGGTATAGTAGCCACAAAGATTGCTGCTAAATTACCACCATTTTCACCAAATCACCTTCCAGATACCATCTCTCCAGTCTGCCACCTAGAGAAGATATTAAGCAAGGAAGCAAAATGAGTCAATGTATCTCATTGGGGGCCAGGTCACTGGGCCTGATGTGGTGAACTGAATTCATTTTATGTCAAGTCTGGAGACCTTTGGAAGACATTGCTTTGAAGGGAGCTGTTACCATAAATCCAGGCTTGTTGAGTATAAAAATGTTTTCCCCTTATAGTGAATGATTCTGTTACATGTAAACACTTGTATGAAATGACTCAAATTACCCTTTTTGTTTTTTTGGATGCTTTTTAAAAGTGCAATTAATTGCAATTCAGAAAGTTTTAAAATGCATACATTTGAGTGTTAAAGCTTAACTGTAATCAGCCAGCTTGACTCAGAGGCCAATTTTTAAATGTAAAAGCTTAAGAAAATGGTTAATAACATTTGGATTTTATATGCCCATATTAAAAAAACTGGATATATAATTAAAAATTAGGACACCATTCCAAAAAATATTTAAAATGATAATCGGTTTTGGAGACCAATATTGTAACTCACTCATGAAAGTTTGGTTTCAGTAATCATCTGTGTTCAAACATTAAAGGATTACATGTCTTTTTCTGTCTTAGCAGATTAGTGACTATTCTCTGTGAGTGAAAAGATGCTGTGTATTAAACAGATACTCACTTGCATGGGTTATTCAGTACATAAATATGGCGTATTTAGTATAAAGGCAATGAAACAGGAATATGACCCTCTGATTGTGAACATTATAATACTAAAATTACTTTGAGGCTTTAAAATTCTTAAAAGAGAAAGTGAGAAAAGGCAGATAGGGCATGCTACTTTCTCACTATTTTATTTGAACTTTTTTGAGTCTCAGATTTCTCATCTTTAAATTCACATAATACTTATTTCACTGGGTTAGTAGGAAGATCAGTTAAATGAGAATGCATGCAAAGTGCTTCACACAGTATTTGGAAATAAAAAGCACCCAACAATACTGACTTTCATAGCTTTGAAAAAATGATTTTCTTAAGAAGGGCTACTTTAATGTCTCACATTTTACTCAATAACTATAAAAATTGTGTGTAAATTAGTTATTTTCAAAGCATGAAAAAATTATTTCCATTTCTCTTCCAAAGTGTCCTTACACACAGAGAGACACACAAAATATCAAAACATTTAGAACTCCTCCTCACTTTTATTGGGGTTGTCATTGTCTTAATCCATTCTTACTTTGATATCTGCTTCAGTCATTTAAACCACATTTGTTTTGGTCTTCTTATTTTATTTGAAGTGAAAGAAAAACACAACTGCGATGAGCTATCATACATTGAAATGAATTAGCCATGGATTTACATATATTCCCCATCCCGGTCCCCCCTCCCACCTCCCTCTCCACCTGATCCCTCTGGGTGCTCGGGCCTGGTGCACTGTCATAGCTTGCTTTCCAAGGAGGAAGTATCTTTTAATTTCAGGGCTGCAGTCACCATCTGCAGTGATTTTGGAGCCCAAGAAAATAAAATCATGGTTTAATAAGTGGGAAATCTTCCTTTGACATATCAGTTAGAAATATATGTTACATAACAAGAAATACAGTCATAGCTCTCAATAGGAAAATATTGCATGGAGGTGATGCCTTACATGGTTGCATTTGCATCTCTCAGGCTTTAAGCACTTCTAAGTTGAAACTGAACACAAGGAGTACATGGGAAAAAATAGTGATTAAGAGTGTGAGTGTCACAGTCCAGAAGTTTGGTTCTCCCACTCAGTATCCGTTTGACTTTGTTGTTGTTATTGTTTCGTCACTAAGTTTTTTTTACTCTTTTGCAACCCGTGGACTGTAGCCAGCCAGGTTCCTCTGTCCATGGGATTTTCCAGGCAAGAATTCTGGAGTGAGTTGCCATTTCCTTCTCCAGGGGATCTTTGGGAAAATTTAATTAACTTCTCCTTGCTTTCATTTCCTCTTCCCTTAGAGGGTTGTTTGAAGATTAAATGAGATGTTGATGTAAAGACATTAGAATAGAACTGAGACTTTGCTAACTTAAATTTAGCTGTTTTGTTCAAGTTATGATTGTATCACTTCATGTAAAAAAGTGCAAATTGTCTCTCTTTAACACATAAGTATTCAAACAACAAACTAATAAACAAAATAGGTGCAGTCATTTGACATCTAAAATTTGATTCTCCACTATTTTGTTTTATTAGAATAAATCGCTTTTTTTACTCTAAATTCAAGACAAAAAAGCAGAAAGAGAAAAAGTAAAAGAGAGTTTTAAACTTAACATTTTAGGTGTGTAAATGCAATTCTAATTAACTGTGAGATAGTAAAGGGCAAAACTAATGTAGATTATTAAATAAACATTTAACTATGATTTAGATTCAATAAAACAATTATGTACATTAACTTATAATTGATCATTATTAAATGTATAATTAGTGAGATTGAATAACCAAAGAAAAGATAAGAGTCTACCTTTAATCTATTATTCATTCTCAATATGTAGGATTCTAATAATCATTGGCATATAATATAATTATGAAGTTATAAATAAGGTTACTTAAAAGATGAATTTAAAATCCTTCTGCATGTTATCTAATTATTATAAATTTGATTATGGATAAATAGCTAAACTATAATATGGCATTTGAGTAAAGCTTTTCTGAATGTTAATCTCAAGCTGTTTGATTTTATAGTGCTTGAGCAGCTGATTAGAGAATAAGACAAAATTGTAAATAATAGATTATGACTAAATTTGAGTTTCCATGCACAAAGGTAAAAACTTTGGAAAAATAAGATTTATTGTAAGACTGAAATAGTCTTATGAAATTAAATTATCTTTTGTTTTTACAAAAGCTCCTGATGAATCACTCCTTTTAATATGAGCAACCTCTTCCCTATAATTAAACTGATGATATTTCCTGTCACAATTATACCTACAAGTAAGGCAGCATGACCCATGAGACAACCCACACCACAGCAAATGTAGAGACAATTTCAATATCTCCTCATCATCAAAGGGCTTCAAAAAATATATGCACTTTCTTCTTTGGTACTGAAACTCTCATTACTTAGTATCCAAAAAAACTTTTAAGGAACTATAATCAAAGAGAAAAAATTCACATTAATTTTAGTTATTTTTATTTCAAATATTCAGCCTTTTTTTCCAAGCATAGGAAGAACTTTTAAAATTGTTTTAGGAGGGTAATTAATTCATAGTGAAAATCTATAAGAAGATTAGGGATAATACATTGAGAAAATTCCCACTCACAACGTAGTAAATCTATCAGTTACTCAAAGGAAAGTGGATAGGTCAGTTTCAGCCTAGTTAAGGAGTTCACTCAACTACATAAAACAATGCAAAGCACTTCCTTGGGAGAAGTGGGAGGAAGTGTGGAATCTACCTTCCCTGGCCTGTTCCCTCAGCTGGCAGTGTAATAGCAGCTATCACATATGTTGTTGTGAGCAGCAAATCCAATCAATCATGTGTCTAAAGGTCCTAGCACAATTCTTGGCACGTACTATTATTCTTTTAAAAGTAGGAAAATTACTATTGTAATTATCCCTTCTCCTACTCTTCATATCTTGAGAAGATGCTTACTAAGATGGATAACGTGGGAGGAAAAGAGACATCTGTTTTTCCTACTCCTGATCTATCAGTTTTAATATATTCTGTTTCCACCCTTGTCTCTGCATGAGGCAACCTTTAACTGTTTGAAGCACTTGCCACCCTTATATACAGCATTACATGTGAGTTACAGAGTTTATATGGCTGCCTTAAGACTACTTTTGGCAGGAAGGGATGATCATCTTACATATCGCTAAAACAGTCAACTTTAAGGAGACATGGAAAACTAGACATTGTCTCCTAACCTTAATAAGAGATTTTGTTTTAGTAGAAAGTGTTTTCTGCATACATACCAACTAAAGTTTTGCTTATTTTCTGAAATTAGTATAAATGAAATTTTAGAGTGAGCATTCTTTTCTGTTCAATTTATTTTACTATTTATATATTTCCAATGCTGTACTAACTTACTGAAATTTTATAAAGTCTTGTTTTGTGGTAGAACACTGTTTTTGTCCTTCATTATGATCCTGTTTAATTTTTCATGTCAGTATACATTTCTTAATCCATTTACAAGTTCTACTCCCCCCCTCCCCACACACACCTTCTTGGATTTAGGAAGCCTAAATCAGACATAGAATGTCCCCAAATTGAATATGACTTTTTAAATGAACAGATTCTAGCTTTTATCAAATACTTTATTGCATTTTTGAGTGACCATTTGATAATAGTGGGGCTTCCCTGGTAACTCAGCTGGTAAAGAATTCGCCTGCAATGCAAGAGACACCGGTTCAATTCCGGGGTTGGGAAGTTCCTCTGGAAAAGCGATAGGCTATATTCTGGGGCTTCCCTGGTGGCTCAGATCGTTAAGAATCCACCTGTAATGCAAGAGACCTGGGTTCAATCCCTGGGGTGGGAACATCCCCTCAAAAAGAGAACAGCTACCCAATCTAGTATTCTGGCCTGGAGATCTCCATGGACAGAGGAGCAGGCTACAGTCCACGGGATCACAAAGAGCCTGACACAACTACGTGACCTTCATTCATTTATGATAATATTTATTTCTTTTAACATCATGTTCAGGTCAATTGTACTGACTAGTTTTAAACTGTTAAACCAATCTTGCATTCCAAAAAAATGCTGAACTCTTGGTTTTATATATTTGTCTCCTATGTATAGCTCGGTTTATTTTATGAATTTTATTTGTTTGTTTTAGTGAATGTATTTTATGATGATTCATTAGGAGCTTTTTCCATTTTGAAATGCCCTTGTCAGGTTTGAAATCAAAGTTATGATAGTCTCATTATTTAAGTTAAAGAATGTTTCCTCATTTTTACACTCCAAAAAATTTTGTGAAAGACTAGTGTTGTTTCTTTTTTAGAAAGAATTTATGTAAGTGCAACTACTATATCAAAATATACATACTTTCAGTTGTGATACATATTACAAAATGGGTCTCCATACATGTGGTAGCAGTTTACCTACTTAAAGTTGTCCTTAGCCTGCATATAGTCAACTGGATGATAACAGAGTCTTCTAGCCTTTAACTGAAGCATAAGGTTTCAGTATTTTAATTTGGATTTAAAAATTACCAGTAACATTAAAATTCTCTTCTAAATCAATTCACCATTAGTATATTTTATTTCTTGCATTCTGTCTGTGTTATTTGCCTATTTTCTGCCCTGTGGGAGAGCTTATTATTTATTGGCTGGTTAGTAAGTAAACTAAATGGGCATAAGTTTAAGCAAAGTCCAGGAGATAGTGAAGGACGAAGAAGCATGGTGTGCTGCGGTCCATGGGGTTACAGAGTCAGACACAACTGAGTGAGTGAACAACAACAAATAAATAAACTTTAGATGTTATATATTAATATGAATTACATATAATATGCATGCATTTATATAGTAGAATGACTAGTTCTAATGCTATCATAAATGTGAATTTATTTTCCAGTATTTTAAAAATTTAGTACCAGTTAATTACCATAAAAATGTAAATAAAATTACCTGAAAGAAAAATTATTATATTTATTGATTAATCTAAAGTTCTTCAGATATTTTATATGCCCTTTTTGTTACACATTAGTTCCCCATATTTGATTGATTAACTTCAGGGTTGTTTTTTCCATGGTCGACAATGTCTACTCTTGAACTATTACTGAAGTATGAGAATTTGATAACATTTTAGTATGCTTTAATACATGTTAGTGCTAGTTTATCATTTTTTCAATACACTGCTGCATATTTTCCATTATTTATTCATCTGAAAGAACTTCAGATTTATTTTGTCCAGGTATCCAAAGCTTTCAATTAGAATTTTAACTGCAATTTTATTGAAGTAATTAGGGATGTAAAGGCTTACTTTCTTTTATGGGGTAATTGAAAGTTATTAAATTTTCCCTTATTTTCTTAATTAAAATATCCCTTTACCCTGTGCTTTCTTCGTAGATACTTTACAAGATTTGTAGTTAAAGACTTGATTCATGTAGTCTTTCTAAATTATTAATATATTTAGTATTAAGAAATTTATATTCTGTGTATAGTTTTGGTCAAAATACTTTTTGGTCAGTTTAGCCCTGTCTGCAGATATAAGTTTAATATCCTATTGATTTGTTAGGTATTTGGAAATTTTTTTTTAAATGGGTTAGAAAGTTAAAACTTTTGATCTAGAAAAATGTTACCAGGTTTTAGTTTTCTTTATTTCTAATATGTGCATCCAAACTTTCCTATGTAATTTGTACTGTGTGATCAAAT